CCAATTCCGAAGCTGTAGACAAAGATCGTCAACCTCGCAAACCCAAGCAGCTGAAAGTTTAAAGTTTAGGAATTTCGGGGTTTCGGGTTTAGGGCTGTAAAACGGGCTGCCCCGTACCAGTAAAGCCTGAAAGCCACGACGCAACCCCTAAAAAACCCGCATAGAAGCTTTGTAGCACTTTGCAGGAGCCCTTGAAGGAAACCCTAAACTCCCTGAAGCCTAATCCCCAATGGCCCTAATGCCTGTCATTTGCTAAATTTATCGTATGTGGTATCCCCCCAAAACTAAAACCCTATTCTAATTATTATAAGGTCCTGCTATATATATATATATATATATATGTATATATATATATATATATATATATAGTTATCGTATGTGGTATCCCCCCCCTAAACCCTATTCTAATTATTAAGGTCCCTGCCGTCCAAGGTGCCCCGAAGGTCTGAAAGCCGGAGGCTTCCATGGCGTCTTGCGCCCAGGAGTTGAGGAAGAAGGAGGCCCTGGATGTTAGAAGTTATGAGGTCAGGGATCTTCTGGGCTTCAGCTTCGGGATTCTTAAAGGACGTCTGGGGTTTTGGGAGTTCAGGGTTTGAGGCATGCTCTGCGCTGCAAGGTTTTCCGGGGTGAGCGTGCCCAGGCACGCAAGGATCGGCAGACCGATGGCGGCGAGGCAGCAAAGGCAGAGTCCCAGCAGTTGCCAGGAGCTGAATCGGCTGCGGGATCCTGGAGAGGTTGCCATGGAGGTCTTATTCTTGAACTTAGGTATAGCACAACATAGGATCCTACCATGTTGGGATCTGTGTGAGGAGCTATGGGAACCCCTGATGTAGACCCCACAACTAGGGTTTCCCAACATGTCAGAAACATCCATCTGCTTCTCGGCCGAGGATCGAGGTTCGTACCTGCACAGAAGCAATGGCAAGTTTCAGCTTCTCGTTGCTGTCAGATCAATGCCCAAAGTTTTCCTTCATGAGGCTAAAAAATCGGGAAACTTCGAGAGCCGTGTTAGGATGTCAATACTTCTTAGGGTAGTTAAGATTTTGGGCATCGGCTTCGCCTCAGCCATGCTTTCTTTGCTTTGGAGGGGTTGCGGTAGCCTGTGTCTCTGACAGTACATGTGAAGCTACAGCACGAGAAACGGGGTTGCAGGCGCAGAGAGCAATAAGCTCGGAGCAAGCCTAGTGAGCGTTTAGAAGTCCCGCTTTCGCTGCAAGCACCTAAAACAGCACCTGTTGCTCACTGCCTTGTGGAATAACTAACCTATATGGGTGGTTGTCAAAATTAGGGTCCCTTTTTGGGCACCCTGAATCTTAGGTGCCGTGTTATATTAAGAAAGGACCCCAAAATACGGGATCGTAATTTTGACAACCACCCATATAAACTCTAGACCTTCGCGGTTCAACTCTTGACCTTGCAGCAGACCCTCGAGCCGGCTCGGGGTCCTGTCAACCCCCGAATTCTTACCTTTGGCTAGTAGAGAATGGAAGGGGCCTTATAGATCTATTTTTGGCTCCCGCATGGCCTTATAGATCTATAAGGGTACTATAATATATGATATGGGCCTGAATCATCCTATAACTTACCTTTGGCTAGTAGGGAATGGAGGAATGGTAGTAATGGTAGTTATAATGGTACCCCATTCCTCCATTCCCTACTAACCACAGGTAAGAATTCCAAAGTATCGCGCTTCTGCGGGCAAGTCGCTCATCAGAGTAGGACCACTCTTCCTTGACAGATGGTGGCAGTTCCGAGTTTCGGGCTCAGGGTTTGCCGCCCGACCCCTGCCAAAGGACAGCCGATCGGCGAGACCGGAAAACGTCGAGCCCCCTCTTGATTAGACCAGAAACCGAATCATGTCAAAGCCAAACCCTGATGGGCCCAAATACCCCGGCCAACTCCAAACCTCGAAACGTGAACCAAGATCCACAACTCACCAGGAAGGAGGGAATTCCGCGCAAGGTTCGTCCGCGCCGTCGCGCTGTGCCAGTGCGCTGAAGTTGGCGTTGGGAAACGGCGGCTTGCCATGTAGCATCTGAGGCAGAGGGAGCTTTGTGAGCCAAGGAGTAGACAAGAGTGTATATCGCAAGAAGACCTGCCTAGCTGAAAGTCTACTTATGAGTTCCCCTGCTCAGCAAATGCGCGAAGTTCGGGTTTGCTGCGCCGAAGCTGTTGGATGGACGCTTCAGCGCCTTGCGCCTTCGGAAAACGTATAATCGAGCGAATGTTAGGATGTGTCGTTCGGCCGATTAGGGGTGCATCTGTTAGCCTCGGAAACATGGTCCATTTGCCCCCGCCCCCCCGAAAACATGCTTTAATCCCCAGCCCAGCCCTTTCACATCTGGACTATGCATATGCCAGGAACCGAGGCCGCAGCCCAGCCCTGAACTCGAAACCCGAGGCCTTGAACCGTGAACCGCCAAGCCCGAACAAGCTGCGGGGCTCGCACCTTGCTCTAACTTCCAACAATTACAGAATAAGCACATGCACATGCGACTGCCAGGAGGTGTGTGAATCGAATTTGGGCCGAGTAAGGTTCTCGGCCGCGATGCAAGTCATCGCAAGCACCACTATATCGACAGGTCTAACATAAAGCCGGCTCGGCTGATTTTTGAAGCATCGAGCCGTCAGTCAGAAAAGGCCCTCGCAACTCCCGAAGACTCTCTGAGTTCAAATGCCTCAGCACCAGAACACTGAAGTGCCTCAACTCTGCCAGCCTTGAAGCCGCAATTAAAAAAACCCTGCGACTGAATCACTTCTGCCATCCAGTCGCTGCCATGGTTTCGGTACAGCGCAGCGGGCGCTAGGCAAAAGATAGCTCCGCGACCTTGCCTAAGGGTTAAGCTTTAGAATCCAGAGTCCAAGGTTGTGAGGCGGCTCGTGGCCACGGAGAGGCTCTCGTTCGGTGGTTGAACATAGCTGATGTTTGCGTACGGAGGATGGGCAAAGCGCACTCGTCTCAGATTGAGGAGACTGTACGGGGGTCGGCATAGTCACGTATGGTTGGGCTAGGTAGGGAGCGTGCTTCGCGTCGCACATGCTACTTCAGACCCTCAAGGTCGAAACCTAAGCACGAAACCAGTAAGGGTCGCTCACACTATGTCCTGGTTCCCACCCCTATGGCTGTGACTATGGCTTTTATCATGAACTTGAGCCGACATGCTCGGAAGATACCTCGGGTTTAGGGTTGCAGGATCTGAAAGGCGGAAACACTTGTCGAACCCGACCCCGCTCCCCCCCCCAAAAAAAAAAAAAACACTTGGACGTCGTTTGCTGCACGACGGGCTGGGCTTCCGAGTCTTCTGCCCTGTTGGGGATTCATTCTTGGGTGGTGTGGGGTGCGGATGGAGACCTCGCTTACAAGCGCGGAAACCCTGAACTACGATTTAAAGACTACCCTAATGCCCTACTTGTCGGGTATCATGGGGAACTCAAGGTTAACCTTTTTGATAGTATAGGGGTTATTCACGGATTTTACTACCCCCGAAAAGGTTAAAGGTTGCCTACTCTACTACTAGGATTCAGGACGGCCCAGTCGAGCTCACGTGCCTCCTTTTCATGCAGCTAGAGCAGATCCAGCCGAAAATGGTACACTCAGGGCTGACCATGAGCAGGAGCAGTCCTCGAACCTACACCCGGAGACTCGCAAATATCTAAACCCTAAACCCTAGAAACGAAACAGTAAGGGACCGCTGCAACCGTGCATCGAAGTGTCTGGCTACTGACCCTCGAGCACACAGGAGAAGTCTCAAGCTGCGACAGATGAACTGAACGGTATGAAGGCGGTCTAACATGTCTCGAGGCAGCTAAGATCCCAACTATAAATCAAACACCTCCCTACTAACTTCAGATGCTTCTGCGATCATGGCCGAGAGTGCTGCATTCGTCACTATCATTCATCCACAGTGGGCTTCAAACTTTAGACCTATAAAACGCCATAAAAATCCAACCCGAAAACTCCCGCACTCCATAAGAAAAGATCGAAATGGTGAGAAGCCGGCAACGCGGTGGAAAACAGCCGGGGCCTCTTCCGAAAAATGCCTTGGTCAGGGCCGACGGGGCCGATTTCAACCGTCCGAGCAGCTGCAGTAGAAGGCACGGAAGGCAAATGAGAGAAGAACCAGTGACATCCAGGCTATGATCTATGACTACGAATGATCGATAAATCACATCATGACTACCGGCTTGGTGCGCTTAGCAGTGATCCAGGGGCCTTCATAATCAGAATAGGGCTTTGGGGCCCGTTATACGATATTTATTGTGGTAGGTAACTATTCTGGCAACATAGGAACTTCTCTTAGGTGCTTCTCTGGACATCGTCGGGTATGTCCCAAAGCAACCTGACAGTCGACTGCTGCCCCAGGCTGAATGGCAGGAAGCCAGAACAACAAAAACATTACAATAAGCAGTGCTTCCTCCATACGACTCGAGCCCGGAGTTTGAAATTGTAGTTTTGTGGCCTAGAAGATTGTGGATCTTGGGTCTTCAGGAACCTCTAGCCCTTCATCGAGTACCTACGCCCTACAGAGACAGGCTGCTTCAGGGATCGATTGTGAAGATTGTTGGCTGGTTTCCAAGATGAGCTCAAGCCTGAACATACTGGCCCTGGACCCCTAGACTCTAGACCTTAGACCTTTCGCCTTTGAGCCGGGGAGGTGACTCTTCTGACCACTCAGCGGCCTGCCTAGGCCACCGTCGCGGTCCTTGGAGGACAGTTGTGAAACTCCACTTGGGGCAAGATGCAAGCTCGCTACAAGACCCAGATCCTGCCCCAGCCCCAAACCCTGACCTCGATTCAAGTCATTACACTCTCGCTACTGAGACGCCGCCAGTCGAGGTCTCGCACGTCGCATTTTCTTTTCTTAGCAGAAGCCTCCGGAGTTTGGGAGGAATTGCAGAGGGAATCCACGCGTCGAACATGGGAGCAGTCCCCCATCGGGGCCGCATGCTCGAAAATGACGCTCTGCGGAGTGATTGCGGTTTTGCAGAGAGCCTGGGCATTACCATCCAGGCCGCCGTAGCAGTGCCTTCAGGCCAAGTTGTACGACGAAGTTGCACACAGCTATAAGCAGCGTGCAGCATGCAAAACCTACCGCACGAAGAGTGGCATTCTCAGTGCCGAAAACAACAAGGTCAGCAAATCGAGTGATGGCATAAGCTGCGATCAGAAGAAGAATTGGGACAGCTGCAGCTGCCAAGACCAAGGCATTCTTCAGAAGCTCAAGACAAGTACTCCTCGGTCTCCGCCGACCAAGCCTGAGCAAAAGGATCAGGACATCCTTGGTAGGGGGGACGAACACCAACCAAAGCACCAAACCCTCGAGCAGAAGAGCAATGGCAGGATGAGACCAGAGCTTACTCTCATATTCCAGATTCACGACAGTCCAGCTGGCCGAGACGTCCATGAAGGCCAAAATCAGTGGAGAACTCACAGCCAAAGCCCATGGGGTACTGAATACCTTCTCGGTGAGGTCACGGTTCAAAATGTCCAAAACCTCTGTGCGCACCGTGTCCTCAAAAGATGACTCGCTACCAAACCAAATCTTCACGCACTCTTTCACGATCCTGGGTAGCTGACAGGGCCAATGAATGGTTTCTTCGTGTTCCTTATCGGGCACAAAAATGATCACTACACTACTATGAGCACTTAAACTGTCACTGAATCACGACCCGGCATCTTGCGATCGCAGAGCATGGCCCCGCCCGAAGGGGTCGTATGGTTGTGGTCACAGCACGAACTCCTTGTAGAATCAACAGAGATCGACAACAACTGTAGCTTCATGGTGTCCAAGTCTCTAAAGTAGCTTCGGATAGTGCTGGCAGTCGGGAACGCAACCGCGCAAAACGATGAAGCAATGGCCACCATCAGCGTGACGACCGTTCGTATGTGGTCGACAGGTGCTGTTGCCATCGCCACTGCCATGGCAAAGAATGTAAGGAAGGCTAGGATTGAAAGAGGTCCCATGAAGATGGGTCTGACTATAAGGTGCTGCTCTTGCGTCTTCTTGCTCTTGAGGAATGCGGCCAGCTCGAAGAGGCACCACAACCTCTGTGTCCATGTTGGGTCCCAGAGAATGAGCATGTTGTCTGAGTTTTTCAGCAGACCCGCCAGGCTCAGGATGGCATCCGTCTTCAGGCTCTCATCGTGTTGGCTGATGCAGATGCGGTCGAGGAAGACTGCAGTCTGCGGCCGCCAGAGAATCATTGCCAAACTCGCGACGACGAACCCTGAAAAAGTTGACCAACAAGACCACAGCCAGGATTTATCAAACCATCCGCGGTCAAATCCAGGGAGAGTTCCAGTACTGTAAAGCACCATCATCAACACCCCGGTGAACAATGCCAAGGATACTGCAGCAGTGCCGTTGTAGAAGGTGATAATTGCGAAGATCTTCTTCCAATGCCCTCCGTGCCAAGAGTGACTCCAAAATGTCGATATCCTCTCAGTCTGGCGGCTCTTAGGGTAGAAGTCCCCTGCAGATCCAACACGCAATGCTATAGCAAACCGTTCTAAAGCGCGACACACAGGCGTCACCCTCAAGACTTCTTGGTTTACCACTTCCATCTGGGCAACGCGTTCAACCAGAATTGGCAGCATCTCTTGCATGACGTCTGCAGATTCCACTTCCACGCTACGCCCAGGACTTGCTGTAACGTGGAGGGTTGGCATCATCACCTCGCTGCTGCAGCTACTCTGGCTGGCACTGCTATCTGAATCTTGCCTCTCGCGCATCACCTTCAGGTCTTGAGGAAACGAATCCTCACTGCTGGTCTGGCTTGGCCTTCCCATCCCTTGTGGTGGCAGGATCAAAAACACGAGGAAAATAGACTAGCAAGCTTGAGCCAAAGCCATAGCTAGGGTTGACACTTCAATCTTTGGCCTTCAAGAGAGATAAGCGGCTTGTGTTGTGGCTGAGTTGGAGGTGTTTTGCTTTCCGGGCATCCGGAACCCGTGTCTTGCGATGATGAAGTGGCTTTGGTTGGAAATCTCGGGTACCTTTCTTTATCAAATATTGAATCCAGCGCAGTGGCCCGGCAAGGATCTTGAAGGGACACCTCTAGAGTCTATCTGCTTCACATCCGGATCTGAGGGAATCTGCCCCGATGAAGTATTCCTGTCTTGCTTACAAAGCTTCGCCGGACGGTTAAACTTGTTCATGACATTGTCCCACGAAACGCCATCCGCCAGGTCCTCGACGGCCACTGCTGCTCGACCTCTTCTGCGATTGAAATTTGGTCCGCATGCATCAAATTGTCCAAAGCCAACAGCCCCACACCTTAAACCCACCTTCCCAAGCCCAGATCCTAAACCCTGTAACGATCAGCTTGCAAACCGCCCAACAACGCCAGATTCAGGGACTCTGTATTTCCTAAGCCCAGAGTCTCATCCCTCCAAACCCCACAGCGCCCAAAACCCCATACCCTGAACCATAAACTGTGAATTCTAACCTAAAGCCTAACCTTCCAGCACCCCAGATTCCATAACCCGATTGATAATTACCTCTGAACCTGAACCCCTACAGCTCACAACCCTCTACCTCGAAACCTTACGCCCTTTACTTGAAACCCGATACCTCTAAACCCCAACTCCCCAAGGAGGCTACAAGGGCAAATGCTGAACCCTGGCACCTCTTTGTTTCTATTCTTCCCAAACCCGGGGACGCGGCCAGCCTAGGGCTTCCTTCGACAACTCGACCTCCTCGTGCCGAAACTTGCCTCCAAACCCAAAAAGCGTTCCCAGCTTTTGGGGTAGATTTCGAGTTTCGTTGCCTTAGGAATGAGGGTGTCGTCGGCTTCAGGGTTGAGGGTCGCTTGAAATCGCTTTGGGGCTTCAGCGGCTTAGGCTTTTAAAGGGTTTAGGGTTTCGACGCTCACACTCGCACACAGCAGGCAAGGCTCCACATAGGTTTAGGGCAGTTTAGGGTTTAGGGTTCTGGTTCCAGGATCTCGGAGTGCGGCTTCCAAAGCCTTCAGGTACGGTTTCGGGTTTAGGCTGCGCCGAGTTGAGCGCGGAGGTTCGCGCCTGAAACTTCATGGTTCCTTGTTCGGGCTGAAAGACACCGAAGGTCCCCTAAACCGCCGAAGAGACCCTGCATCCACCATATGCCGTATGCGACATGCTCAAGGGACGCGAACCCAGAAACTAAGCACCACAGCCCTCAGAATTCAAATCCCAAGACACGTTCACAACCTCACTCCCACCTTTCTTCTCTATGCCCCTTGGACCGAAAAAACGGTAACGTTGTGAATAACCCCTGGGACTACATCTCTCGCAAAGAAACCCTGACTCAGAAGGACAACCCGCTTTGCAGCCAGGAAGCCAAGCACATGTCCAACGATAGCTTCGCGACCACCAATCTTCGGGCGCGACACGCCCAGCCGCAATCGCAGGAACTTCCTGGATTTGGAGGGTTTCGCATTTCCTCCTTTGGCTTGAGGCTGTTTTGTTTGGGGCTCTTGAGGCTTCAAGGTTTGGAGGTCTAGGAGTCCACATTTAATTAGATTTGAGGGTCACGGGTTTATGACTTGCCTTAGGAATGAGGGTTTCTTCGGCTTCAGGGCTAGGGGTTGCGGCATGAAGGCATCGTGTTTTAGGGTTTCGGTTTCGGGGAGTGGCCTTACGGGCCAGTTGAGATACGTGTAGGTTGAGGCAGAGTTTCCGACACGACCTGCTTCAAAAGAGGGTGCGCTGGGGCCCATGGTCCGGCGTTTCAAGCCTTGGTCAGGGTTTCGAAGGGCATGCCCGTAAGGTGTTTGTCTGAGTCAAGCTCAAGACGTGCTCTTCAATGCAAATAAAGTCACCACCCGCTTACAAACCCTACGCCCTCCATGCTCTTCCCACCCAAGAACCCCGAAACCATAAACACTGAAGCCTAAAACCCTAAGATCTTTACGGAGCCTAGGCCGTAACAGTCAGAAACCCAATCTTCCCCCGGCCCCCGGCCTAATAAACCCCAAAACTAAATCGAGCGAACTGCTGGAAGCCATGGTTGAGGATGGACTTGACGCCATTCTGGCCTGGTGCGAAGGGGTGAAGGTTTCGTCTCTCACTCTCGCTCGCAGCAGTTTAGGGTTTACTTCGAATTGCAAGGTTTCCAGCGTAGCAGAGTAGAATTTTGGGCTTGATGGTTTGGCATGAGTTTGACATTGCGTAACAGAGGCTTGTGCCCGCTCATAAACGCCTCCTCAAGGGCTTTGACACCCGGGATCTTTCAAACCCCAACCTCCTGCAAACCACTCAGAAAACCCATAATGGGGTTTTGGGTTTACGGTTTAGGGTTTAGGGCCGTTCCAAAACCCCAAACCCAGCATCGTAAAAACCCGGGCCCGGGCTCTTAGCCTGAAGCTATGCTGGTGCTTGAAGCGTGGCACGCACGGCCTCCGGCAGAGCCCGACTTGCGCAGGCGTAGCCGGCCGACATCCAAGTCCATGTCATCGTAGATCACCTAACTAGGCTTGTACAATGGGACTTAGTAATTATAACTACTTATAACCCCAATTAAGGTACTTATAACCTTACTTAAGGTTACCGGGGCTCCTGGCAGGGTGTGGTAGGGCTTAGGATCTAGGAGTTCAGGGTTTGGGGTTTCACCCGGGTCAACTGAAGGTCGCCCAAGTCTGCAAGTTAGACTGCCAAAGACCACAAGGGCGACGATCATATCAATGTAGTTTCGAAAATCCTGGTCGAGAATATTTGTAACACTGCTGGGGATCCAGGAAATCTGAAGTATACCACTACACATCGCAACGACGCGACGCCTGCTTCTGAGAAAGTAGCGCTCCCGACGGACGATATACTGAACTGCATCCCAGAACCAAACGAAAAAGGTTTGGGGGGCATGTTCTCATTTAACGAGCCCGAATCACAGCCCACAATGCTAAAACCTCTAACCCCGAACCTAAGCGCCAAAGAATCAAAATTGAACCCTGCAATTTTAGACCTGAACCCCAATGGTTGCGGCGAGGCACGACCAGAGCGGATTCCGGCAACCCAAGGGATGACACCTCCCCGGCTCTTCGACTTTACCGCGGGCTTCTAGTGCAGGGCTCAGGGCTGGTTGACTTGTTGAGGACATGTAGAGGCTCCTAGTGCTCTGGGTTGAAGATGATTTTCGACACTCACAACTCGGGAAGGCTCTGAAGTCCGCACTGTGCTTAGGGTCTATTTCGGCTTCGTAGGCTTCAATTCAAAGCTTCTACAGCGCATTTTAGGTTTACGGCTGGGCTTACAGGCTGGTTTAGCGAATCTAAAGTTTAGGGCTTAAAGGTTGGAGGCTTCTTGAGCTCAGGGCTTGGGGCTTGGAGGCTTTCCTGATCCAGTTTCTCTTTAGAGCAACTCTAGCAGCTACTTCAGGGGCCAGATCCTTAGGGGCTGAGTACCCTAGCCCAACCAGTAACTATGGTAGGAGAAAAAACCCTAAGTTGTAAAAGGTTACGTACTCAGCTACTAAGGATCCTTCTGAAGCTCAGAGAAGAAAGTTTGCAACTGGCTTGCCACGCCACGCCAGCAGGGCTCGACAGCAGGAACTTGCAGGCTGCTCCAACAGTAGAAGCTAAACCCTAGGCCCCAGGCCCTAAACCTCTTAAATCCCTTAATCCTACACCCTAGACGGCCCTAAACCCCTTAAAGCCTTCAGTTCCCCCCAAAGCCCCGATGGGTTTCCGGACCAGTTCCGACACCGGCCGGCCCGAGCCGTTCATCATGGAAGAGGGCTTGAACCTCGAGGAATCAGGACTTTGCGTATGGGACTTCTGTAATGTAGGGGCCTTGATAATTAGAACAGGGTTTTGGGCTCAACTCTTCTTCTAAGTAACCCGGATATTCTTGGTAATGATTTAGGCTTCTACGGTAGGGAAGAAGCTGGAGCTTCCAGGGAGGGGAACCTGGAGCAGCCAAAGCGCTGAATCCCAGACATCTTGTCAATTTCAATAAAGGTGTTAGGGTGGTTTTGTATCAGAGCTTTGTCGTCAGCTCCCAAGGCCAACAATCGTGAACACGAAACCCCAAGACAGCCCCCCCCAAAGCACCCCTGGGCCGAATGGACAAGTAACGGAAAGACAAAGAGTCCCGGAGCAGGGGAACACACACCAACAACTATGCATCCTGAATCATTGCAGGAGCGTGGGATGAAAGACTGCTGCAAAGCAAACGCTCCAGAAACTACCCTGGTGCTTTACCCTAAACCCCAACCCCCAAATCAGAATCTCAAACCACCAGCTGAGTTGCAAGAGGATTTCTTCGTACGAATCCGTCCTCAGAGAGCCGGGCATAGGGATAAATGGAAGTTGGCACAAGCTGTTGCTTTCGCATTTGGTGATGCTCTTTCTGTTACTGCTCTCTGTGCCCGTCGTGATGCACTATATAGCTTTACGAATCCAGGTGCTTTTGCGGGCAATAGGTTGAATTCAAAAGTTGACCGAGTTTACAGGGGCCTGGGCGCTGCTTTCGATGCTTTTGTGTAAGCTCTTTAAAATGCATGGTTCAGGTGAGGGCGGGGATGCGGGGTGTCGAGCTTCGGATGTTGAGGGATGCAGCGGGAGCAAGGGACCGAAATTGCGGCAGCAGGAGTCTTTCCAATTTGCTCTTTGCGGACGTTCAGAGATTGAGACATTCACTGACACCGTGCTGCAAAACCAAGCCTTGGATTGAAATCGCAATCCTTTCCCTTATGCTGGAGCACAGCGCGAAAGCACAAGGACCCCTGCAAAAACATTGCCCCTGTAAACCAGACCTCCAACCTCTTCGAGTGTATCCTCCACCTTTCCCTTAGACCCCCCGGTGATCTCGAA